TTTTTTTTTTTTTTTGTTTTTTTTTTTCCCTACGTTCTTCTCTCAAATGCTTTTCTTGCTTTTCACTACCTACCTACCACTACTGCTAAGGGTGTATAGAGGGGACCCCTGCAAGCATAGCTACCTCACAATGAACGGATTGCATGTTGCCCCCCGCCCTAACAGCGGTAGTTAGAGATGGGGTGCGGCCTCCAGTGAGGGTCCAACTAATGCAAAGACCAAGCATTTTGCCAGTAGTTGTGCCTCCCTTTTCATTGTCCCTCACCCCCAATCGAATAGCATTAGTGTCTAAGGCCAACACTCTCCCACACACCACACACAACCCACTCGCACTCCCACTCCCACTCACACCCATGTTGGCCAAAGACCCTATCACTTGTTGATCCAATTCAAGGTGTTTGTATTCTGCATAGTTTTGCCATAGGAGAAGAGCACTGTGCTGTCTGCCAAGAGGAGGGCAGTACTCCACCTGGCGTGAACATAGAAGTTATGTTTATGGCATTTATGGGTAGACTACTACAACTCCAGCCTGCTCCAAGGAATATTCCAGGCATGGATCCAAATATTTGTGCGTGTCCCCTACATCGTCCATGTCATTTCAGAGTTGTTACCTTTGCGGATAATTCATGGACCCCATATGACAATCGCGGAAGGGTACCCACGACGGAAAATATGAACTCTTTCTATCACCAAACAATAGAACACTCGGTCTGGCTTGACATTGTCTACTCACAATCTCTACAGCCCCGGAGAGCAATCCGGCTGAACCCCCTCCTTCTTCTGTGCATGGCCAGGCAGCGTCCCCTCCCTGCATAGATTGGACGGATCCTACCACAGACAGTGATGGGGCCTCTCCAGAGGACGGTGGCTGTGTCATCCCATTCTATCGTCAACACGGCTACAGTTTGGTTAGCATGCACATGGGATAGTCTCTGCTATGAACACTATGAAGGGATGGTCACTGCCATCCTCTGCCTCGAAAACTGCGACCCTTTGCCTTGTACCCATCCCTCCCACCCCCTAATTACTTGTCCAGCATGCCGTCGTGGCCTTCACATGCCATGCCTAAATAGCTGTGAGCGCCAGCCTGCTTTCCTGCTGATCGCTTGTGTGTGTGTGTGTGGTGGTGGGGGGCAACCTTTTCCAAAACAACGCATCGCAAGGTTAGGCACGCCAGAACACAAGAACGGCAGTCAAAGAAGGATGCCTCTGTTCGAATGAACCGAGTCCTCATGTCAAAAGCTCAGTGTGACAATTGGAAGGGCAAAGCTGAATAGAGAGGAAACTCAGACAAACAACAGTAAGACAAAGGGCAGCAGGCAGCAGCAACAAGGGAGACAGGCTGGTGGGCATGGTGGAGGCGGGTGGCAGACAAACAGCACAAGGCCATGAAGAACAAGGCAATGAGCCAAAGACTAACAAGCAAAGGAGACGTCAACAACCCAAGGAGCATCCTTAGAGGGTTAAACAGGAGCAAAGAACATAAGCTGGAGGGCGCGGGGGAGGTGGTGGGCAAGCAACGAATCCAGAAGTACCGAGGCAAAGAAACAACAAGGCAGACAAAGAGAGCACGGACCAAAAAAACACAAAGCGAAAAAAATAAAACTGATGATAGATTCTTTCGTCGGAGTTGCACTGACTCATTGGGAGGCTGAACCCTAAGTCGTAAGTAGTCTGCAGGATACCCTCACAATGCTTTCAGTCATAACCTGCTTCAGACCCTGTTGCAAATGGGCAAACATAGAAAAGCATGCAGCACAGCACGAACAAGGCAACATAAAGCGAAGTCAAGCAAGCAGGCAGCAAGGAAAG